CACACCGTAGGCATTCAGTCCTTATTGACCAAGAGTCAGTAAATGGGATTAAGTCAGCTTTTAATCCCTTGCAAATCACCTTGTCTTTTGCTTCCTGTTTTTATAATCAATAGTCTTTAGAAGCAAAGATCATCTAAAGAAAGAAACCAAATATGTATGGATTATCTCCCTTGCCTAAGAAATGGTGCTATGCGGAATTGCCTTGTTTAAGAAGAGATACGTGTTAGAAGAATTGGCTTCTGATTCTCTTTGCTGTGTCTTGCTGTGTAATTCAAGTTGGATGCACAGCAATTTAATGAATTAGAACAAGAACTAAAAGATTCTTGAAAGTGGCTGATGGTTGGCCATGATCCAGATAATTCCTACACTTTCCCCATCCATCTACTACTTTAAAATGAAAATATCAAGGAAAAAGAAAGGAAATTGGAAGGCATTACAGTATCCTGCACCCTCATTCAGCCACTCTACAAATATCTTTTAGGTACCTTCCATCTGTCAGGCACTGGGAATATGGGAAACAATAAAAGTCAAATTCCTGCCCCCATGGAGTTGTTCACTGCAGCAATGACTGTACCGTCTCCCTGGCACCCCTAGAAGAGAACCTCTAAGCACCTCTTGCTGGGGGCCATTTCTGGGCCTGTGCACCTTTGATGCACCTCCTTGGCGCTCAGCTGACAGACGATAGGATTTGTCATGGCGTCCAGGGCTGCGTGTCCTTTTGGGTTACCTTGACCTGATCAGCTGTCTCCACTGTGTGTTTCCAGCGTGAGATGTGCGGTCACCATCCACCGCCATTACACAAAGACCCATTTCCCCTGGGCCATTGCTCAAGTGTGACAGAGCCGACTGTCCTGTATGGAAACAGCCACCTACAGCTCTGCCCTGTGAGACAGGCAATGACTATCTGATCATGGCGCTGACACAGTGCTTGTGGTGGGGAGTGTCCCTATCTGGAGGCAGACAGCTGAGTGGCCGCTCTGCCCTCAACAAGCCCCATCCTGCTTCACTGTGAGGAAAGAGCCCCCACCCCACCGGCCCTCTCCCCAGCCTCCAGTTGAGTCAGGTGCCCCTCCAAGTGTTTATGTAACTTGTGCTGATACTAATAGGGTCAAAGCACTTACCACATTAGTTTGTCTAACTAGTCTATTATTATTCTTTCATGACACAAAACATATTTACTGTTGAAAATTTTTAAAGGTGGGTAGGTAACATTCATTATCGCACTACCTGGAAACAATAGCTGTTGACAGATTGGTGTAACTCCTAGAAATTTTCCTACATCTGGAAAAATATGTCACTTTTAAAACTCATTATTATTCAGATATCTGTGTCAATAAATGGTGTTGAAACAGCTGGATAGCCACTTTCCTCCTTCAGCCACAACCATTTCCAGACACATCAAAGATTTAAATGGAGAAAGGCTTTCAAAGCTTGTCCCAAAACCTAGAAGCCATTCAGGAAAGGGCAAATGAATTTTCCCATCCGAAAATTGTAGAGCTTTTATACATTGATGCCCATCTGGCAGGATTTAGTGAGGACAGAAGCTGTACATAGCTGCAGTTCTAGGTAATTATTCTAGAGAAGCTTTCTCATATGTCCACAAGGAACGGAGTACAGAGACTTTTCACTCAACATCATTTATAATAGAAAAAAATGGGAACAAACCTCAAAGTCCATCAATAGGGGAATAGGAAATAAAGGGCAGTATGTATTCATACAACAAAATATTAAACAGCAGTGAAGGCAAATGAACTAGAAGGATTTCACCACCACTCCCAGACCCCCGACTTTGTCTCTGTCCCAGGAACACGAGGCAATGTCTGGAGACATTTTTAGTTGTCACTCTTGGAGGTGAGGGTGGCATCTAGTGGCTAGAGGCCAGGCATGCTGCTAAACATTTTTACAATGCACAGGATGGCCCCCACCACAAAGAATCATCCAGCAAAAACGTGTTAGCAGTGCCGAGGATGAGAAACTGAGAGACGACTCACATGTTGGCAGACCTCACCAACAACTGTAAGTGGAAAAAGGGGCTGCAAAAAGATCTAGTTTGATATCGTTTACAGTGATACATATACAGTAAAAGTAAAAGCAGAGAAGGACAATAAACACCAACTTGTAGGGAGTCACCTCTAGGAAGGGAGGGAAGGCATGGACTCAGAGAGGGGCTCGAAAGGGCTTTAGTGGTCACGAGCCAGACAGCTTAGGTTCTAGTCCCGGCTCCACCACTGACACTGTGTAACCTCAGCAGGTTGCTTAATCATTCAGGGCTTCAGTTATCATGTCTGTAAAATGGGATGATATTGATAATCATGCCGTCTTCACAGGATTGTGGTGAGGGTTAAGTACATTAACCAATGTAGAGCACTCAGTGTGTGGCTCATAGTAAGAACTATGTGTGTTTGACACCATTTCCGTCGTGATGCTGAATATGATGTGCTATTTTTAAAATATCGGAAGTGAACATGGCATGTGTGAAATAACTCAATGTTCTGCCTTGAGAAGTTCCTTCACTCCTCCTGCCACCCCCAGCAGCCAAGTGAATTTCACCCTCAGCACTTACTCTTTATTTTTTAAAGCAGGCCATCTCGAACATACTCTCCAAATCTGAGACAACTCATCTAGGCCGTGTTTCCTTCTCCTCTCCCCCGCGCCCCCGCCCCCCATGATGCTGGAAACTTCTCTTTATTGATACAGATGATGAGCAATGCAATGATAAGTGTGTGTCCCTCTGTTTCACTTTGTTTCCCTAAATTGATGGCTATCGAATTACCAGGATGAACAAGGTGCACATTTTAGCACTTTGGTAGCATTGCCAAACGGTTCTCCTAAAAGCTTGACCCAGTTTACCCTCCCGCCTGCCAAAGACAGTGTTGTTACTGTTTCCTGCTGCCTCCCTCACTGGGGTAGGAGCTTCTTAAGCACAGGGACTGTCACATTTGCCCATGTGTTCTCAGTGTCTTCACAGGTGCCCGGCAAAATGTGGTTGAATGGATTAAGGCTTTCCCTTAGTCACCAAGTAAGTAAGGAGGATGTCGAAAAATAAGACACTCATGCCCTCAAGAACTTACAATTTAGGTTTATCTGAAAGTTAACTGGCGGCCGGGCGCGGTGGCTCACGCCTGTAATCCAAGCACTTTGGAGGCCAAGGCGGAGGATCACCTGAGGTCGGGAGTTCAAGACCAGCCTGACCAACATGGTGAAACCCCATCTTAAAAAAAAAAAAAAGAAAGTTAACTGGCAATTCCAAGTCTAAGGGCACTGGTGAGAGTGGCCTGGCAAAGCTGGCCCAGGAAGAGCTGCTGAGCAGGTTGTAAGAAACAAGGATCCCCCTTAACCTTGGCAAAGCAGAGGAATGGCATTCCAGACAGATCACAAACAGCTCAAGCAAGGGCGTGGTGACAGGGCTGAGGAACACACGCTTGCGGATGGCTGGAATGGAGGCTCCCTGGGCACAGACACCTGGGAGGATCCGATCAGCAAGAAAGGCGGGTCCCATCCGGATGGCGGCAAGCCTTGTTCAACAGACTAAAAACTTTAAACTTTATCCTGGAGGCCACTGAACGCTACCAGGGGTGGGGCGGTATGGGGAGGAAAGGCTGTTCTGAAACAGGAAGATTAATCGCAGCTGGGGTGCCGCTGACTGCCTGTCACACGGGAGCCCTCAAGCTGCCCAGCTGGTGCACCCTCTTTCCAGGTGACCAAAGCTGAATCCGATGCCCCCCGGCTTAGGAAGGGCAGCCGTGGGCAAGTGTGAGGGAGTGAAGACCAGGCAGGGCTTGAGAAGCAGGGAGAAGCTGTTTGTCAGGGAAGCGTCGTCACCAGGATCGGGGCAAGCTGGTGGCTTCCCCTCCACAGCCCCTTGTCATCCCTGTCGCCACACCTGTGCTTGGGCTGACGGTGACAGTGTGTGCTGCCACTCTCTCACTATGACTCTTATTTTTTTTAGAGATAGGGTCTGGGATAGGGTCTCCCAATGTTCTTTCTATTTAATTTTATTTCTTAGAAAAGATAGGCCAGCATAGCTGAGCAAAGTGCTTACCAGGACTGACCCTGGGCAAGACTACCTGGGCTTCACTCCCAGCTCTAGTACTAGCTGTGTGTCCTTGGGCAAGTCACTTCAACTCTCTGTGCTTCATTGTTATACTTAAAATGGGGGACACTGTTAACCCATCTCATAGAGTCCTTACATGTAAAGCTCTTATAACAACTTTTGACAAGTAATTCATGCTCTTTCCATGTTTATTAAATGCATATAATAGAAAACGAATGTATCCAGAGAGGCAGTCTGACTTACCTAAGGTCACACTGCAAATTAGAGACAGAGCTGGAATCAGAGCCCGAACCTCTGCTAAGGCAGGTAGCCCTACTAGTCTAGTTTGGATTTATCTGCCCCTGACGAGGGCTCCTGGGGAGGATCTATGGGTCCTGACATTGGATAGTTTACTTAGAAGGGTGGAGCAGGAGATCCTGTGGCCTCTGCCCTGGACAGACAGGATGTGGAGGTGGCCTTGGGGATGTACAGCCTCCCCTGCCTGAGGCAGGCTGCACAGGAGTCCAGGCAGGCCCTGGCCCCATTACTGTGGTTTGTCAGGTCAGTAGGGCAGAGACTGCCCCAGGCACGAAGGCGAGCTGGGCCTGCATATCAGCTGCACACAGACAGACGCAGTGATAACAAGGCTGCTGTGGATAAAGCCCTGCCACATCCCTGCCGTTCAGCCAGTCACCGGCTGCCAGGCACTCCTCCTGCTACTTGGAATTCAGTGATGAACAAAACAGACAAAACCCCTACCATCACCAACCTCATGACATTCTAATAGAGAGGCGCAGACGATAAACTAATATGTGAGGAGGTACTCAGGACTTGAAGGAGGACGAGGCCAGGTAAGGCAGGGGAGCGTGGCTCGCAATGAGGAGATGGTGGGGGGGAACCTCAGAGGAGGTGACACACGACAGTCCTGAAGGACCAGAGGGAGCACCACGCACAATGCCTGCAACCTGGCAGGTGCGGCTTCAGGAAACCCTCCTGCTGTCCCTGGCTATGTGAGTGACATTCTCCCATCTTACTGACGAGGAAGCTCGAGGTTCGGACTCAGCCCTGCCTCCCAGTCCTCGCCTGCCTCTTCACTGGCTCCCAGGAGTACAAGCACACTCAAGCATGTGGACCTCACGAAGCCTGTGCTGGGGAAGGAGGGGTGTGCGGTGGGGTCATGGGGAGAAAGGGACACGCACAGGGCTATTGGGGTGAGCAGATCTACAGTTCACTCTGGAACACTTCCTTGAAGATGTGAGTTTAGAGTTAAGCTTGGAAAGAAGGAAGGGAGGGAGAGGAGGAGGGAGAGAGAAAGGAAGAAAGAAAGGAAGGAAGGGAGGGAGGACAACTTCAAAGGGAGAGCATCTGGCTCCTGCGGATCTTCAGTGGGAGTGGTGAGGAGAGCTGTCCGCAGGGAGGAGCCTGCTTTGGAGCACACGTTTGGTGCAAATTCATGGCAAGAGAAGAGCCCTCGGATTCAGGTTGTACACTCTGGTCCAGCCTCATGCTGGAGGGCCCACAAGGATGAGGCCTCTAGGCCTTGCCTCAGGGAGCAAGGGAAGAAGAGAGCAAAGTCAGAAACATCCTAGGACAGATTGTAGCAGATCTGACAGTAACCACACATCCGACACCCAGCCTGTGGTAGGCCGGCCAGGCATAGTCCCCTACTGTTGCTTACTCCGTCCCACATTTGTGTCTTCAAGTCACATCTTCTTCCCTACCGCTAGTACCCAAATGTAGGGGGGAGATCCCATAAACACCGAGGCAGGAGCAAAAGGCCTCAGCCTATTTCCATATAAATAATGAAGAAGAAATTGACTAGAAATATAACCGTAGTAGTTATTAGTTATTCATGGGAGATCTTAGTCATTCATAGGTGATCTTAATTCTTTTACTAATGCCTCTCAGGTCGGAAGTATGAACCTGGGGTGACATTGTGAAATGAATGACACTAAGGCAAGATGCTCTAAGCCCTCTGTCACGCCCGCATAAGGGCTGCTGGAGGGCGCCTCGGCCGTGCGACAGCACCAGTGCTGTGAAAGCGCCCGCTGTTTAACCAGCTAGGGAAGGAGGTGTCCAAAATGACCGAGACATCTCCTTTCCCGAAGGAGTTAGGAGAAAACTCTGCTTCTCCAAGCTCTTGTGGTAAGGCCTGGCAGCTGTCAGGGAGGCCCGCAGACATCCAGGGGCTTAACTGTCTCTATGTGATGCTGTGCTCCAGTGGTCACGCTCCATGTCCACTCTCACACCCTGCTTCTGCACCTGCTTCCTTTTGTCTCAGAAAAGATAATCAGTAATAGTAATGTAAATCTTAATGTTTTGGTTCTTTCTTCATAACTATGGAAAAAGTGCTGATGCATTATGCTCCTTACCTCACTTAAGGTGCCAGAAATTCCTGACCCCTACCTGAATGACACGTGATGTACTTGACCCGATCACTGCCACCCCCTATCTACCCTGCCCCAGTCTCCGACCACCAAGACCACGCCCTACCTACCCTGCCCCCAGATTTGCAGCTCAATAAAAGTGAGAGCGTCCCGGCATTCAGGGCCACTGCTGGTCTCCGCGATTTGGGTAGCAGTGGACTCCTGGGCCCAAACTCTCTTTTCTTGATCTCCATGTCTTGTGCCTTTTATTTCTACAATTTCTCGTCCCGCACCAGCCGGGAGGGGCTCACAGAACCCTGTAGGGCTGGACCCTGCACCCAAAAATCCTTGGTTCATTCAGTCACCACGTATTTACTGAGCAGCTACTATGGGCAAGGCACAGTGCCAGGGGGTACAGCAGTGGCCAGAATACTGCCGTCACCTCACAGAGTCATTGTCCAGTGGTGAAGAGGGGCATTTCACAGGAGACAAGGAGGATTAATTAATATTATGCTGAATGCTACCAAGGACAAGGCAGAGACCAAATGGAACGGAGGCCTGGGCACCAGACCTTCCCCCAGCCACATCTTTGAAGGGTCGAGTGGAGGGGGCTGGCCTGTGGGCTGGGTGCAGGGAGGCGGGCCTTAGGGGTGGAGTGGAAAGGGATGTGTGGGCTGGATGTTGTGGGGAGGGAGGTGTGAAGAGGGGAAGCCTGTCTTCCAGGCCCCAGAAGGCTGAGAGGTGCCCGATTCCTAGAGCTGTCCCCACCCCTGTCCTCCACCAGGGGGTGCTAAAGCTGAGGCAGGGAGAGAGGAGGAGGTGGAGGCCCAGAGAAAAAACTCCTGTAGTTTACAAGGGTGCCTGAGAAGGAGGGTGCCTTTTTTTTCCTTTTGAGACGGACTTTCGCTCTTGTCACCCAGGCTGGAGTGCAATGGTGCAATCTTGGCTCACTGCAACCTCTGCCTCCCCAGTTCAAGCGATTCTCCTGCCTCAGCCTCTTGAGTAGCTGGGATTACAGGCGTGCACCACCATGCCTGGCTAATTTTTGAATTTTTAGTAGAGATGGGGTTTCACCATGTTGGCCAGGCTGGTCTTGAACTCCTGACGTCTGATGATCTGCCCACCTCAGCCTCCCAAAATGCTGGGATCACAAGGAGCGTGAGCCACTGCAGCCAGCAGAGGGTGCCTTGTCTTTTGCTGCTAAGATACATGTTCTGCCTGAACCCCAAGTCTGCTGACCAGCACTTGCCCTGAGAATGGAAACAGGTAATAGGGAGAGAAGGTCCGGGAAAGGGCCTTGCAGAAGGGGGCCGGTACTCTGTCAAGTTTTCAGAGGCTGGCTGGCCACAGTGGCTCATGCCTGTAATCCCAGCACTTTGGGAGGCCAAGGCAGGAGGATCGCCTGAGACCAAGAGTTTGAGACCAGACTGGTCAACATGGTGAAACCTCGTCTCTACTAAAAATACAAAAATTAGTGAGGCATGCCTGTAATCCCAGCTACCCAGGAGGCTGAGGCAGGAGAATTGAGGCAGGAGGTGGAGGTTGCGGTAAGCTGAGATCATGCCATTGCATTGCAGCCTGGGTAACAGAGTGAGACGCTGTCTCAAAAAAAAAGTTTCCAGAGGTCAGTAAGGTGTCCCAGGGGCTCTAAGCTGGTCCCCTGAGGGACTTACCAGAGGCTGCTGGAGTAGGAAAGTGATGGACACAGGAGGAATGAGGCTGGGTGCCTGGGGCAGGGCAGGGCCTGGTCTGCAGGGTCAAGTGCCCCTGAGGGGTTTGGAAGGTAGACACCTGCTCTTTCCCCAGATGTCTGCTGGGCCCACTCCCAGGCCTATTCAAGGGCTGCTGAAATGTTGCCTCCTCAGAGAGACCTTCCCTGATCAAATAATACTCACTAGGCTTTTAGACTGTTACTCTACCTTATTTTTTCATAGCACTAATACCACCTGCCATTACATTTGGTTCAACCAAATGTATTAAATATCAACATTTTAAATTATTGTTTTGTTTACTGAGACAGGAAGGATCTTGCTTTGTTGCCCAGGCTGGAGTGCAGCTCACTGCAGCCCCAACCTCCCAGGCTCAAGCAATCTTCCCACCTTAGCCTCCAGAGTAGCTGGGACCACAGGGGCGCACACCACACCTGGCTAAAAAATTTATTTTATTTTATTTTAATAGAGACTGGGTTTCACCATGTTGCCCAGGCTGGTCTCAAACTTCTGGGCTCAAGTGATCCTCCTGCCTCAGCCTCCCAAAATGCTGGGATTACAGACCTGAGTTACCACACCTGGCCAACAAATATATGTTGAATAAATGGGTCAATGAATCCTTGTGCTGAGTATCTGGCAAAAAACTTAATAGAGCAGTTGGATGTGAGTTTGAGCTGACTGTCACCGAGGGGATCGTTTCTGGGGCAGGGACTGGACAGCCAAAGAGCAGTGGCTGGGGTTGGGCAGCTGGCATACCCGGGCAGAGCTGACACAGTCCACTGGGGAAGGAGCCTCTGGCGGGACCTACTGTGTGCCAGGCTGAACTGGACACTTCTCGAGTCATCTCTTTCAGTCTTCACAACAGCGCTGTGACATGGGTCTTATCACCCACTCACATTTTACAAATGAGAAAACTGACGCTTAGAGGAGCCAACTACCTTGTCTAAGATCACACAGCTTACCACGCCACAGAGCAGCCCGCAGGTGCAGTCTTTCTTCTGCATCTCCCTGCCTCCTTGCAATTTTGCTTGTTTCATGGAGTTCTGAAAGCCCCAAAGAGCATGGGAATCTCTAGAGCTGGGGCCAGAGCTCTAGGACGCCCTGACCTGTCCCACCCTCAGAGGACCCCGGATGTGTCACGCTTTCTCATATCTTTGGAGGACTCGTGAGGATGTTCATGCTGGTCCTGCCATTTGGAACAGAGAGGGTGGCTGCTGTGCTCCTGGGGCAAGATGGGGTCTAGGAGACCAGGATGGGGGATGCGACAGCCTCATAGTTATGCGGGGCTTTTGCCTCAATCTCTAATAAACCATAATCAATCCCCACACCATGTCTCTGCCTCCAGAGGATCACAGACTAGTTAGAAGACAATACGGCAACAGCCCCTTCTCAGGCACATGCTGGACACCAGGCATTCTAGTTCGTGGTTAAATGTGCAGACTTAGGAGCCAGATGCCAGGAATGAAGATCATGTTCACCACTTTCTTAGTTATGTGTGACCTTGGACAAATTACTTAACCTGTCTGCGCCTCAGTTCTCTCCATGTGTACTAGGGGAATAATTATATTGAAATAGACTAAAGCAGCCCTGATACCTGGGAGCTGCCCGGTCCCATCAGCCAGGACTTGGTTGCTCGGAGCTGCCCAGCCTGGCGCAATTCGGTCTTGCTGTGCTAAACATAGATAATTTCACAGACATCAGCATCGAACAAGGCCATCCCTGACCAGGACAGACCAAGACAAAAATGAAACTACTCTATAGTCATATCAGAATACAGACAAAACATGAATTTTGTCCAAACCACAGAAATGACCCAAATCCCCCAGTAGAGCTAAGCTGAGTGGCGGCTGCTGCTTGACCAGCTGTAGCTTCAGCCTTGCTCCAGTCTGCTTTCCTTCTAGGCAAGACGCATCAAGACTCCCAATCACAGTGTCACCTCCACTTCCTGACAGCATCAACCCAGAACAAAGCCCCGCTTCCTTCACCCCTCCCAAATCGCCTAACACAACTCCAACATTAGACTAAATCCTTTCTAATGCCCCTTCCTGGGATGCCCGTGATCCCCACGGTGCATGCTCTCCCTCACTGCAAAGAGTCATCGGCTCAGCTTCTTCGCCCACATGTGTGTCTCTGGTGATCTCTGGTTGGAGGCATTGAAAGTTCCTACCTCAGTGGGTTGTTCTGAGGAATATACTTACACTGCACCTGAAATGATACAACCCTAAGGCTTTTTCAATATGCTTGTCATACTTTACGATTATCCCCATTTCACAAGGAGGACTCTGAAGCTCAGAGAGGGGACCAAACTTTGCCCAAGGTCACACAGCAGGTAATGACAGAGAAGGGAGGCAAATGCAGGCCTCATTCCAAAGCTGGTTTCCTGAACCCCTGCCTCCACATTCATAGCGCAGAAACCAACAAGACAACCTTGGTGGGGTTGGTGTCTGGAAAGGAGAAGAGCAAAGGGCCCTTGGAACTCAAAAGGAGAGAGTCTCAGGCTGAGGAGGCAGGGCATCCAGGATGACCTGAGTGACCCTCTCCTCCTCCGCTCCCATTCATGACTCCCCGACTGGATCCTCCAAGGGCTCCCCCCAGGCTGCCTGGCTGCTGAGTAACGTGGGGCCAGTCAGGCCCAGAGTAGGGGTCAGTGTCAGCAGAGTCGGAGGCCTGAGTCACTTCCTGACCCTTGCTCAACAGCATCTGGAGCCACAGCCCGAGTGGCTGCTCTTGTCCTCGGGAGATTGCACCCACTTGGGCAATGAGCATGCCCTTGGTATCCCCACAGTCCTGGACTCACCTCTGCCCTGCTCTGGTATTGAAGACGTGCGGCAGACAGGGTCCAACCTCACCTGCTGCCACATCCTGGCCCCTTTCCTTACTGGATTCTCAAACCAAGAAAACCTGAGTCTCCCAGATCACTCACTCTCTTTTGCCTGCATCCAGCCTAAAATCAGACTTCTAGGACCCCACCCCAACTTCATATCAAGGTATCTTGCACTGGTGCCACCGATCCCAAAGGTCCAAAACTCCTGCAGCACCCCCTAGCACAAAACCCTGCTGCTTAGGCTCCCATGGGTCTCAGGGCCAGAGCATGGGGTGAGGGAGGGAAAAGTCTGGGGAAAATATCGGATACCTCAGGACAGGATGGGCTGAGGGAGACATAGTCTGATCAGTAGACATGTCCTTATGATGTGGGCAAGGCCATTGCCTTTGAGGAGCAATTCTCTCAACCTGAAGCCACTGCATAGCCTTGCAGCCAAGAGCAGGGACCCTAGAACCAGGACGTACTTGCTTTCACCCAGCGCTGCCCTTACCAGCTGTGTTGCCCTGAGAAAATTACTTAGCCTCTCTTTACCTCGGGTTCCTCATCTCTAAAATGAGGACAATCATAGTACTGACTCATAGGCCTCTCGCCAGGATTAAGTGAGTTATATAAAACACTTAATGACTGGCACATGGCAAACATAAGTGTTTATTAAATAACTCTTTCACATCTAATGGGCTGACTCCTCCATTCATTCTCCACGTATTTATTGATTTCCTGCCATATGTCAGAAATGAAAGAGACAGATTGCCTGCCTGAAATAATGGCGGGCATTGTTGTGTGAAGCCTGCACCCCACCCTCACCCCCGAATGGTCTTCCAGGCTGTGTCCGATGCTGCAGGACTGCCCGAGAGGGTTTGGGGCACAGAGTTTGGGGGCTGCAGACTCCCTAGTGTGGACCCCCAGCTTGCTGTAAGCCCCTAGCAAGTTTCTTTCCTTGTACTGTAAGCCCCTAGCAACTTTCTATCCCTTTGACTAAGTGAAGCAAGTAGTCCCGCCCCTTCTACAGCCCATGCCTGGGCCAGAGAGGGGTTGGACAAGTCAGGCTGGGCATCCAGACCCCTTGCACCCTTTCCTCCCCCCACATCCCCACCATGTTCCTCAGAGGCCTCTGTGACTTGAGCATAGAATCTCCCTTAGGCTGCACAGGCCACCAGACATGTGGCAAGGGCCCCAATTTGACATTGTCCTCGAAGGGCCTTAGGAAGCCCACAGAAACTGTGTTCAAAACTGCCCATTTGGGCCGGGCGCGGTGGCTCACGCCTAAAATCCAAACACTTTAGGGGGCTGAGGTGAACAGATCACCTGAGGTCGGGAGTTGGAGACCACCATCTTGGGCAACATGGTGAAACTCTGTCTCTACTAAAAATGCAAAAATTAGCCAGGCGTGGTGGCATGGCCTGTTAGCCTCAGCTGCTTGGGAGGCTGAGGCAGGAGAATTGCTTGAACCCAGGAGGCAGAGGTTACATTGAGCTGAGATGGCGCCACTGCACTCCAGCCTGGGTGATAGAGTGAAATTCCATCTCAAAAAACAAACAACAATAACAAAAAAAACCTGCACGTTTGAACCTGCATGAATATTTGCCATTATAGAATTAGTGCTATTAATTTTAGGCTTAAGAATGTATTGTGGATATATTTTTTAATCCTTAACTTTTAGAGATACAAAAATATTTATGAACAAAATGATATGGCGTCTGGATTTTGCTTCAAAACGATGGTGGGAGAGGAATGTAGATGAAATAAAACTGATTATGAGTTGAGGTTGCTGAGGAAGTGGGGTCACGGGGGTTCACGAGAACCTCTTATCAGTTGTGGTCCAGAAGCCTCTGATCTGGGAGCTGGCTAGAAAATGCCGAATTTCGGCTCCACCCCAGACCTACCGAGTCAGGACCTGCATTTTAATTGAATAAAATGCCCGGGAGCTTCCTGCGCACACTCAAGTGTGAGAAGCGCTGGCTTACTCTGTTCGCCTCTTTCCCGCATGTTTGACATGTTCCCTAAGGAAGAGGTTGTGGGGTTTTGTTTTGCTTTCCTGTGTCTTCACAGTCCCGGGGAGCTCTTCCTACGGAGACCGGGGCTGCAGGGAGCTGGGAAGCGCTGCCTCCCGGCTCCTGTTGGGACCCCCCAGCCCCGCTGCTGGCCCGCGCTCGGCCGGGAGGCACCAGGGTCCCGCAGGGCAGCCCCGACCCGTGCCTGGGCGACCTGCCGCGGTGGCTCCGTCGGGCCGGGCGGAAGCGCGGGAGCGCAGGGTTGGGCAGGCCCAGGCGTGGCGGCCCCGGCGCACCTGGACGAGCCGGCAGGTGGGAGCGTCGCAGCCCCGGGGCCCCCGCCCTCGCGCGGGGGAGGAGCGGGCGGCGCGGGGCGGGCGCGGCGGGGACCGGGGCGCTGGGAGCCCGTTGGGCCGCGAACGCAGCCGCCACGCCGGGGCCTCCGAGATCGGGTGCCCGGGATGAGCCTCATCCGGAAAAAGGGCTTCTACAAGCAGGACGTCAACAAGACGGTCTGGGAGCTGCCCAAGACCTACGTGTCCCCGACGCACGTCGGCAGCGGGGCCTATGGCGCCGTGTGGTGAGACCCCCGGGCCACTGAGGCGCGAGGCGCGCGGGGGGCGCGGGGGACGCGGGGGGAGGCGGGGCGGGCGCCCTGCGCTCCACTTTCCGTCCTGGCCGCCCTGGGCGGGCCCGTCACCAGCGCCACCTGTACCGAGAACCTCAAGGTCCAGCGCCCTCCCCGGGGCCACCCAGCCGCCATCTCCCTTTTCTCACCGGGCGGCTGTGTGAGGTCTCTGTGGGTTGAGTTGGGAATTGGGCCTGGCTTTCCAGGACTGTACCCCTGCAAGGCCCCAGAGTACATCGGGCAGATCGTCCCTGTTGCTGACGAGTACACTGAGGCCCCAAGACGGGGAGGTGGCTCGCCAAGTGGCAGGGAGACTGAGCCTCCCACCCGTCCGGGGAGATCCTGTCGCGAGGAGACGTTGCTGCCCCCGGCATTGTGCCCCTCTCTCGGCTCCTGCCTGGCGTCCCACCCCCTGCCCTGCGCCCCGCGGCTCCCCCATATTCTAGGTGGTGGGCGTCCCCCCCCCAGCCCAGCTGCCCAGCGGAAGGGGTGAGGGAGGCCTGGGAGATACCTCCCAGGAGGAGAGCCTCTCATGCTGACCTGCCTGTGCGCGACAGCTCGGCCATCGACAAGCGGTCAGGGGAGAAGGTGGCCATCAAGAAGCTGAGCCGGCCCTTCCAGTCCGAGATCTTCGCCAAGCGCGCCTACCGAGAGCTGCAGCTGCTGAAGCACATGCAGCATGAGAACGTAGGCAGCGGCGGCGGCCCTGGGGAGGGGGGCGGGGGCTGCCCTGGGGAGTCAGGGGCGGCGCAGGCGGGGCCTCCCGGTACAGAGAGCGGAGAGCTCAGAGAGCTCGGGACAGTCTCCTCCCTGCTCCCCTGATGGTGCCTCTCACCTCAGTATTGAAAGGAGGGGGTGCCGGGACCTGCCCTGCCCACTTTCCAGGAAGGGGTCAAAGGGTATTTTTGGCAGAATGCACTTTGTGAGGTACAGACTGTCTCATCCTCCCGAGGAAATGGGCACAGGGGAACTTTGTCATTGGTTCCCTGTCTGAGAGCTTGTGACCAGCTGGGACTAGAATCCTGGTTAGTGTCCTGTCCACCTGACCCTGATAACAGCAACAGCAAAGGACACATAGTGAGCGCTTCCTATGTTCTAAGAGCTCTGCAAACACGAACTTGTCTAGTCCTGGTGATATAGGAATACTATTGCTTCCGTGTCACAGATGAGGAAACTAAAGCACAGCAAGGCTCACAGGTTAGGTGGTTAGTGAGTACATGAGCTGGGGTTTCAATCTAGGCAGCATGGCTCCGGCCCTGAGCACATGACCGTCATGTCTGACAGAAGCAGCTGGGAAAACCAGGGACCCAGCTCGGGGCCTGGCAGCCAGGCTTTGCTCCAGGATACCTAGATTGGAGGGCAGACATTACAAAGACTGATTTCAAAATGTTATGTACATTTTAAGCCCATCCCTTTCCAGCAAACCCTTTCCTTCTGACCTCCAGCCAGGGTGATCTTGCCCTTGGCTCCCAACGAGCCCTGTGGCCGGCAAGGATGGATGTGGCTGTAGACCCAAGGTCAGGGGCAGGGAGTTTGCTGGCTGGAAATCCTCTTCCCTGTTCCCTCCTTTTTCCCTTCCACCCTCCCTTCGTGCTTTCCTGCTGCCTATGTGAGTTGAGAGTGGGTCTCATTGCTTGCCCTGAATACCAGACTTGAGAGCTATGAGCACACCTCATTCTTCTCCCCACCTTCCCTTCTCCCCAGCCCGACTCTCTGTCACCATTTATTGCAAACTCCTTCCAAATCCAGGGGATTCCTCTAGCCTCTGCCCTTTTTACTGCTTCCAAGAAGGTTGGAGACCTGCCTCCTGCTGGAGGTGGTGCATTAGGAAAGGGGGAATGGTCCTGTGCATGGCCTGGGCCCAGGAGGAGGTGGGAGGAGAAGGCAGCATCTCTCTAGCCCTCATAGGTGACTTCTTCCCCAGGTCATTGGGCTCCTGGATGTCTTCACCCCAGCGTCCTCCCTGCGCAACTTCCATGACTTGTGAGTTGAGCTGCACTGGGTTTGGGGGCATTAGCAGGCTGGGGAGCAAGGTGGGGGGAGGTCCAGGGTCTCTATTTCGGGTGTGGTAGGGAGAGCCTCCTTCCCTGCCAGTCCTGTGCCTTTGCCTGTCAAGTGTGATTCTCTCTGGAAAGATGCTTTTAGCCAAAGGCAGACAGGAAAAGGCAGGAAGGACTTTGTGGGGTGCTTGACTGGCAGGGAGCAGTCCACACAGCTACTTTGCTTTTTACCCAGCTTTAACACCATGAAGACACATCTGCCAGTCCTCACAGGGTTAGCGCCAACTTGCCTTTCCTGGGGACACAGATGCAAGTCTGGACCTTGGAGCTCTTTCTAGCATGAAGCAAGGATTAAGAAGCCTTGGCTGCCTCTGGCTGATGGGTGTGTTTGAGAGCATGGCACAGAACCAGAACATTCAGTTGCAAAACGTATAGCTTTGCCTGTGCAGTGTTTGAATGAGACTGGACTATTTGGACAAGATGGAGAAGTCAGTGTGGCGAGTGGAGGCCAGCAGCTGGCTTGGCCAAGCTGAGTCTGGATTGATCCTACAGGCAGCCTCAAGACCTGGGGATTTTGAGCAGGAAGGTGATGTGTTCAGATGGGATTTGGGGGATGCACTTGGGTAGCAGCAAGAAAGGAGTAGGAAGCAGCTCTGGGGCAGAGGGAGACCCTGGAGGTCAGTGTCAGTGACCCAGACCGGGACCTAAAGTAGAGGTGACGGGACACCGAGAGCAGACTTGAGGCCCCATTTGGGAAGCAGGGCCGACACAATGTTCCATCTGTTGGGGTGCAGTGGCTGACGGAGGTGGCAGAGGTGGGGGGATGTGCAGGTTCCTGCTTGGAATACAAGGTGGGGGAAGAACAAGTCTTGGGGGAAAGATAATGAGCTCCGTTTAGACACTTTACTTTTAAAGAGCCTGTGAACATTCATTCTGATGTTTAATCACAGTTGCAAATAAACATGAACCTCAGGAAAAGAAGGCCTGGGCTAGGGATGTGGATTTGCGCTGGAATAATCACCTATGGGTGATAGCTGATGCCCGGGGACGGGTAACTGTAGAACGTGGTAAGATAGTGTTGATTCAGATATCAACATGAAAGAGAAGATCCAAGAGGATCAGCAGGTGGAAGAAGCTGAGAGGGCCGGATCGGAGGCAGAGGAGAGTCAGCAGAGAATTGAGAGGGAGGTTCCGGCTTGACCAAAGGTCAGATAAGAAGAAAAGAGAGTCGTGGTTTGTTTGTCGGATATTCACTGGTGACCCTGAGCTGCGTAGTCTGGCAGTGGGAGGGAAGCAGAAACCGGGTTAACTCAGGACGGGGAGGTAAGGCAGTGAGTCCAGGAGTGTGAACCACCCTTTCTAGAAGTTTGGTGGTGAGAGAGGGAGAAGGGGTGGTCAGTTGAAGAAGCAAAGTAAAGAGAATGTGGTTGTAGCACAGAGAGGCTTCAGGAAGTTTGTCGCCAAGATGGAAGAACCAGTGTTTGAGTGGAGGTGAAAGACACAGCAGGGGACCAGGCATGGTGAGGGCCCCGAGGGAGGTGTGTGGTCAGGCAGGAGAGGGCTGCCAACATCCAAAGTCTCCTGGAGATGCCTCCAGCATGTCCTTTCCAAAAAAATAAATCTATTTTATAACTTTTTAAGGTAACTTTTTTTTTTTTTAATTTATGATATTCTAGAGATAGGGCTGTGTCCCCCCAGACTGGAGTGCAGTGGCACAAACACTGCAGCCTCCAACTCCTAGGCTGAAGCCATCCTCCTGCCTCAGCCCCCTGAGTAGGTGAACCTATAGGTGTATGCCACCATGTCCAGATTTTTTTTTTTTTTTTTTTGAGACAGAGTCTCATTCTGTTGCCAGGCGCCAGGCTGGAGTACAGTGGCACAATCTCGGCTCACTGCAACCTCCACCTCCCGGGTTCAAGCAATTCTCCTGCCTCAGCCTCCCGAGTGGCTGGGACTACAGGCGCAAGCCACCACGACCAGCTAATTTTTACATTTTTAGTAGAGACGGGGTTTCATCATGTTGGCCAGGATGGTCTCGATCTCTTGACCTCATGATCCGCCTGCCTTGGCCTCCTAAAGTGCTGGGATTACAGGCTTGAGCCACTGTGCCCAGCCTTTTTTTTTTTTTTTTAAATAGAGCTGGGGTCTCACTATGTTACTCATCCTGATCTCGAACTCCTGGCCTCAAGTCATCCTCCCACCTCAGCCTCCTGAGTAGCTGAGACTAAAGGTGCATGGCACCACACCTGGCTAATTTTTTTTTTTTGAAAGATGAGGTCCAGGCCAGGCACAGTAGCTCACGCTTATAATCCCAGCACTTTGGGGAGGCCAAGGTGGGCAGATCACCTAAGGTCAGGAGTTCGAGACCAGTCTGGCCGACATGGTAAAACCCATCTCTACTAAGAATAAATAAAAAAAAAAAAAACCCAGGAGACGGAGATTGCAGTGAGCCGAGATCGCTCCACTGCACTGTAGTCTGGGCGATGGAGCAAGACTCCATCTCAAAGAGAAAAAAAAAAAAGGAAAGATTAGGTCCCCATGTTGCTCAAGCTGGTCTTGAACTCCTCACCTCAAGCTATCGTCTAGACACCAGCTCCCAAAGAACTGGGATTGGAGGTGCGAGCCATGGCCCCTGGCCTATTTTATAATTTTTATGAGTTTTTTGTCTTTATCCTGGACTTCACTTTATTACCTTGAGAAACGGTTACATTTTGCTGGCCTCATTCTGTTGTACAATCCCCTAGGAGGCTGCAGCAGCCTCCCCATCTCCCGCTTCCCCCCTCCTGGAAACGGTTTCCTTCTTGGAAAGGTAGACATGTTGTTTGTTTGCGGGGGCATCTCAGCTGGGCATGAGGGATACAACATTTGGACAGAAGCCGAAGGAAATACTGGCAGATTTTCTGACTCCTAGCTGTGGCTTTCCCTGGGGTGTGGAAGAGGGCAAGGAGAGAGTACCTTTGAAGAGCAGAAACAGCTCCATGCGGCTTTCCAGAGTATGCTCCAACTGCCAGCTGGGCGGCTCGCCACGGGAGGCTGGGAGCCAGGAGCCCAGAGGCCCGTGCAGTGGTCTGGCTGGCTGAGGTGGGGCTGGCTTTTGTACAGTGGAGGGCATCTCTTTGGCCCCTGTTCTGCCCTGAGGCCCCTCCTCTGAGCTCAGACCTGGGGCTGAGGTGGGACCTGGGACTGTTCCACGAAGCCCTCATGTCTTCCAGCTACCTGGTGATGCCCTTCATGCAGTCGGATCTGCAGAAGATCATGGGGATGGAGTTCAGTGAGGATAAGATCCAGTACCTGGTGTATCAGATGCTCAAAGGCCTGAAGGTGGGTGGGGACTTGGAGAGTGGCAGAGCCGACGCCTTGGTGTCCAGACCTGAGGTGTGGGGAGGCTGGAGGGAGCACACTGTTACAGGTCGGAGGTTTCTGAGCCAGCCTGATGTGCCTGATGTGGGAGCCGGGCCATGGACTCACCCTTCTCTCTCCCCCATACAGTACATCCACTCAGCTGGGGTCGTGCACAGGGTGAGTGCTTCTTTGACATGGTCCTCAGAGGCCCCGTCCCATCCCTGGGTGGGGGACTCTCTGGAAGCCTCGAGCTGCCTCACCTCCACCCGCAGCCTCTCTTCCTTGCCTCCTCCGTCTTTGTGCCTGGCCACTGCCAGCCCTACCTGCCACCTGAAGCTCCTGCCCCTGCCTTCTTGGTGGGCATTGTCTCCTGGGTGCTCTTTCTTCTTGAGCTGACTTCACTCTCCATGCTCTGTCTGAAGGGGGTTGGGAAGGAGTGGGAAAGGTGGAGGGATAGGACACTTCCCAGGAGCACAGAATGTGGAGTTTTTCAGACCCAGCCATGGCCCAGGAAGACCTGCTCGAAAGAGTTGCTGTGTCCCAGGGGACTTCCTGGGGGAATTGCTGCAGACACAGTGAGCCCTGAGCTGAGTGTTTCAGGCTTCAAGAAGCAGGAACATTTTAGAGCTGGATGGGCCCCGAGAGAACACCTAGTCCAACCCTCATTTACACATGAGGAAACTGAGGCCCAGAAAGGGAAGGGGCTTGGCTGAGGTCACATCCCTGGGTGGTGGTGGAGCTAAGACCAGCTCCGTCTCTGCCTCAGCCTAGCACGCACTCTCTGTCCTCCCCCCAGGACCTGAAGCCGGGAAACCTGGCTGTGAACGAGGATTGTGAACTGAAGGTGAGTGGGCCACGGGCTCAGCCCAGAGGCGGGATGGGCCCTCCCCGAGGGGAGCCTCTGGAAGCCGCTCCCAGAGCCTCCTCCCCTCTGCAAGTTCCTTTTCCATTTATCCCCTGAGCCATAGATCCTGGATTTTGGGCTGGCGCGGCCTGCAGACGTCGAGATGACTGGCTACGTGGTGACCCGCTGGTACCGGGCCCCTGAGGTGATCCTCAGCTGGATGCACTACAACCAGACTGGTCAGTGGTCAGTGCCTGAGAGGGCGGTCCTGGGGCCAGCTGGTCACTCAGCGCTGACTGACTGCCGGGTCCCGGTCAGACATCCCAGGTGATACTCTCCCTCCCTCTGCAGTGGACATCTGGTCTGTTGGCTGTATCATGGCGGAGATGCTGACAGGGAAAACTCTGTTCAAGGGGAAAGATTGTATCCTTTGCTGGAAAAGCCAAACTCCATCTAGGGATTCCTTCCTTCAGCAGACACTTTATTTAAATAACTGTCTTTTTTTTTTTTCTTAATGTGAGAGTGATACATACTCCCTGTAGAATAATTTGTAAATGCAGTAAGGCTGGATGAGGTGGTTCATGCCTGTAATCCCAGCACTTTGGGAGGCTGAGGTGGGAGGACCGTTTGAGCCCAGGAATTTGAGACTAGACGTGGCAACATAGCGAGACCCCATCTCTAAATTTTTTTTTTAATTAGCCAGACATGGTGGCATGCACCTGTAGTCCAGCTATTAGAGAGGCTGAGGTAGGAGGGTTGCTTGAGCCTGGGAGGTTGAGGCTGCAGTGAGCTATGATTATGCCACTGCACTCTAGCCTGGGCGACAGAGGGAGACCTAACTCAAAGAAAAAGAAAAAGAAAATGTTGGGTGGGCGCGATGGCTCATGCCTGTAATCCCAGCACTTTGGGAGGCCGAGGTGGGCAGATCACCTGAGGTTAGGAGTTTGAGACCAGCCTGGCCAACATGGTGAAACCCCGTCTCTACCAAAAATCACAAGAATTAGCCGGGTGTGGTGGCACACGCCTGTAATCCCAGAAGGCTGAGGCAGGAAAATCACTTGAACCCAGGAGGTGGAGGTTGCAGTGAGTTAAGATCGTGCCACTGCACTCCAGCCTGGGTGACAGTGAGACCCTGTCTCAAAAGGAAAAAAAAAAAAATGTAGATAAGCAAAATGATGAGAAATGAGTCACCTATAATTCTACCACTATGGAAAATACATGTTGGCACCATACACATGAACTGAGTGCCCGTGTGTGCAGGGCAGGCCTTTGAACAGAAGACAAGGAAACGAAAAAGAATGACTGAGTGGGATGAAGGCTGAGAAATCCAAATGCATTTGTTGAGTAGGGACCCCCACTCAGCCTGCCATGTTGGAAAGGCCTCTGGAGCCCTGAGCCCTGAAGAATGAGCCTCCTCCTGAGAGCTGGAGATGGTTAGGCAGGGCTAGAGCCTGGATGACCCATTGCCACGGTGCCCGGGTGGAGTGATGGTGGGGTCGCGGGAGGGGCAGTCTCAGACCCACAAGGAGAGCAAGGCTAAGCCTTAACCTGCCATCAAGACCTGGACCAGCTGACCCAGATCCTGAAAGTGACCGGGGTGCCAGGCACAGAGTTCGTGCAGAAGCTGAAAGACAACGCGGTGGGTGGTAAATGGGACGTAGGGTGGCCTGGGCTGTGTGCTTGGCTGACGTGGGCCTGGTGGACTGGAGGCCTTTGTGGAAGAAGGCTCGCCAGCACCTTCCCACAGCATCCTCCTACCCTGCAGGAGCTCTTGTCTTCATCTCACCATGGACTGTGACCTGAGCCTTCAGCCCTGCCCTGAGGCTTTTCTGAAATCCCTGCTCTACACCCTAAGGCCAGAGCCCTGAGGGATTTGATGCTTTTCTGTCTTCCAGGCCAAATCCTACATCCAGGCCTTGCCACAGAGCCCCAAGAAGGATTTCACTCAGCTCTTCCCACAGGCCAGCCCCCAGGGTGAGTCTCAGGGTTCCCTCCTCAGGGGCCTCTCAGCACACCCCCATGGGCGGGCTCTCCCTGGCCCAGTGTGAGGCTCACAGCTCTGCCACTGCAGCCGTGGAACTGCTGGAGAAGATGCTGGAGCTGGACGTGGACAAGCGCCTGACGGCCGCGCAGGCCCTTACCCATCCCTTCTTTGAACCCTTCCGGGACCCTGAGGAAGAGACGGAGGCCCAGCAGCCGTTTGATGATTCCTTAGAACACGAGAAACTCACAGTGGATGAATGGAAGCGTAAGAGCTGGGGCCTCGGGCTTCTTCGCCTCCACTTGAAGCCTTTCTTCCTTGCCTCCTCCGTCTTTGTGCCTGGCCTCTGCCAGCCCTACCTGCCACCTGAGGCTCCTGCCCCTGCCTTCTTGTTGGGCATTGTCTCCTGTGTGCTTCTTTCTCCTTGAGCTGACTTCGCTCTCTGTGCTCTGTCTGAAGGGGGGTGGAGTTCTCGCCCTCAGCACCTCCTTGCCCACCTTAAACCATGCTGCCTTTCTCAGAGCACATCTACAAGGAGATTGTGAACTTCAGCCCCATTGCCCGGAAGGACTCGCGGCGCCGGAGTGGCATGAAGCTGTAGGGACACATCTTGCATGGCACTGCCGGCCAGACACTACCCAAGGACCAGTATTTATTTGTCACTACCAAACTCAGCCCTTCTTGGAATACAGCCTTTCAAGCAGAGGACAGAAGGAAGGATCCTTCTCCTTGAGTGGGAAATGGGCCTAGTAGATGCAGAATTCAAATGCTGGTTGGGAGAAGATAGCTCTGATTCTAATGGGCCACATTAAACTGCTCATCTGGAGAATCGCCTGCAGTGGGGGGCCTTTCCTTTCTGCTGGAGTGGGGCTGAGCAGGTGCTGAGCCAGGCCGGGGGGCTGCTTTGGTTTCCTAGGGATGCTCTAACCAATTACCACAAACTGGGTGGCTTGAAACAGCAGCACTTGATTCCTTCATGGCTCTGGAGGCTGGAAATCTGAGCTGGAGGTGTTGGCAGGGCCGTGGTCCCTTTGAAGGCTCCAGGGAAGAATCCTTCCTTGGCTCTCTTTAGCTCATGGTGGCAGTGGGCAGACCGTGGCATTCCCGGCTTGGGCTGTATTCCTCCAATCTCTGTCTCTTCTGTTCTCTCCTCCTTTAAGAACAACAATCATTGGATGTGGGGCCCACCCTAATCCTGTATGAGCTCATCTCGATCCTTATTAATTACACCTGCAAAAGCTCCAGTTCCAAATAAAGTCACATTCTCAGGTTTCAGGTGGACACGAGTTCTGTGGGGGAAACTATTGGACTCACTACAGATAGCTGGGAGGGAGGGCCCCTTCCTGGGCCTGGTGCTGAGGCCTAGTGCTCTGTTAAGGAACCAAATGTGTTTGGCTGCTAAATTAAGGGAATTGCGGAGAGAGCTGCAGCTGGTGCGATTGCATTCAGGTTATTTTGGGTGAGTGATAAGCAATCAAGATATGAAACAACAGCAGGCTTGGAGCCTGCGAGCTGCACAGGCAGAAATGGGCTCTTGCCTGGCTTGATGGCAACCGTTCTGCTCCCTTTGGGAGATGGCCTGGCCCTCCAGAGCTTTGACCTGCCAGTGGCTAGAACCTCTATGTTTTTATCTGAGAAACTCTGGCAGAACAAATTTCCATGTGCACAAGCTATCACGGACACAATGGGTTTCAATTTCCCTGTGCACCAGGGGACTTTTTAACATGCAGATTCCTGGGCCCCACTCCAGGGCTTGTGACTCAGCAGGTCTGGAGTTGAGACCTGAGAATGTGCATTTGAATGAGGCCCTCTAGCCCCTACCCAAGCCTAGTGATTCTGATGGATATCAGACCATAGTTCGAGACATTTAGTGGATTTCAGTCCCACTTGATTTGTTGGGAGGCCTTAATCAGAAACCTACAGTAGGAGGCTGAGGGGCTTCAGATGGAGCTTCACACTCATCTTACAGGTGTTAAAACTGAGAAAACGAAGGCTCAGACAGCTGTTTTTTTTTTGTTTGTTTTTTTGTTTTTTTGAGACAGGGTCTGGCTCTGCTACCCAGACTGGAGTGCGGTGGCACAATCACAGCTCACTGTAACCTCAACCTCCTGGGCTCAAGCCATCCTCCCACCTCAGTCTCCTAAGTAGCTGGGATTATAGGTGTATGCCACCAGGTGTACCAGGACTACAGGTGGCTAATTAAAACAATTTTTTTCTTTTTTGTATAGATGGGGTTTCTCTATGTTGCCCAGGGTGGTCTTGAAATTCTGGACTCAAGTGATCCTCCCACTTTGGCCTCCCAAAGTGCTGGGATTATAGGCATGAGCCACCCTGCAGGCCCAGACAGTTTTTAAGGCCTTGAAACTCTTCTGTATGACACTGTAATGGTGGATACATATTGTGTATTTGTTACAATCTGTAGGACTGGATAACACAGAGTGAACCCTCAAGTAAACTATGGACTTCAGTTAGTGTATCAGTATTGGTTCATAAATTGTAACAATTGTGCTATACTAATGCAAAATGCTACTAATCAGGAAAACTAGGGAGAGGGAAGGAGAAGGAGTACTGGGAACCTCTGTACTTTCTGTCAACCTAAAACTGCTCTAAAAAATAAACAAGGTCAGGCACAGTGGCTCATGCCTGTAATCACAGCACTTTGGGAGGCTGAGGCAGGCGGATCACGAGGTCAAGAGATCTAGACCATCCCGGCCAACATGGTGAAACCCCGTCTCTACTAAAAATACAAAACTTAGCTGAGTGTGGTGATGGGTGCCTGTAATCCCAGCTACTTGGGAGGCTAAGGCAGGCAAATTGCTTGAACCCGGGAGACGAAGGTTGCATTGTGAGCCAAGATCGTGCCACTGCACTCCAGCCTGGCAACAAAGCGAGACTCTGTCTCAACAACAACAAAAATTAACAACAACAAGGCTGGTCGTGGTGGCTCATGCCTGTAATTCCAGCACTTTGGGAGGCTGAGCCAGGTGGATCACTTGAGGTCAGGAGATCAAGACCAGCCTGGCCAAAGTGGTGAAATCAACCCCGTCTCTACTAAAAGTACAAAAATTAGCCAGGTGTGGTGATTCTCCTGCCTCAGCCTCCTGAGTAGCTGGGATTACAGGCTACTCAGGAGAATGAGGCAGGAGAATTACTTGAATCTGGGAGGTGGAGGTTGCTGTGAGCCGAGATCGCATCACTGCACTCCACCCTGGGTGACAGAGTAAGACTCCATCTCAACAACAACAAATACCCTGAGGCCCCAGAGACACTGGGTCAGATTCCCACAGCTAGGAAGTGGTAGAGTTAGGATTGGAACCCAAGTAGGCTTGACCACTGTGCCCAGCTTGGATTCAAGGGTTGCCCAGCCTTCCCTCTTCTCGCCAGTCTCTCTGAGACCCTTACTGCTGGCTGTGTCCATGGTCTCTGTTTTCTCTCCCACAGAATGACCCTGCTGTCAAGGAGCTGGGGAGTTCTTGACAGGGACTGGCTCTGTCCTGCCCCAGCCCTGACCTTGCTGGCTACTAAACTGCCACAGGTTCCTTGAGTCCAGATCCCTCCAAGTCTCCTCCTGAGAATCCTCACCGCCCCAAGGAAAAAGTCCAGCCTTCTTGGCCTGGCATTCAAAACCCCTGTGTTCTCTTTCATCTCATCAGCTCCTACTGCCTCCCATAGTCATGTCAGTGTGGCCTGCCCATGGGAAACCACTCCTGGAGTCCATCATAAGCTTCACTCTGTATTCACAGGTTACATGTCCTGGCAGGTCCTGCAGTAAAGAGATGAGTTCAACTCATTTAATTCGGCACTTCCCAAATATACTTAACCACAGGACCCATTTTCTCCCAACACATGACATAGCCTTTTTTGCCCTGTGCAGCCCAGTGCACAGGTCCCGATACTGCCTCTCTCCAAGCAGGCTTAGCCTTCTTTTAGTGCCTGTGTGTGGAAGGCCCTCCATGCTCCTCTTCATTGTCCTTGGCCTTCAAGGCTCTACCTTAGGCCTCCCTCCACGCAGCTGTTCTCCATCATCTCCCCTGGGCTGCAGGCCCTCTGTGGGCAGCATTTACCATGGTGTGTGATTTGGCCTCCCCTTCCCTTTGCCCACAGTAAGCAAGTACCTGTGCATGAATGAATGAATAATGAGTAAGTGAATGATGTCCCAGAGGCCTGTTGGTCACTTCTTTGCCCCGACCAGGCCAATGTTGTCTGGAAGGTGGCGGAGAACACAGCAGGAAGCAGAAGTGGGCGTCCCCAGGCTTACCTTTGAGCTGCTCTCCTGAATCATCTCTGTTCTCTCAGACTCCCAGACCCTCCCTATCATCCCTTGGTGTCTCCCCAAGCCATCCCCCCTTCAGAATTAAACCTCAGCCCCCTCCCACAGAGCTTTCTCAAACCTGAGAAGTTTCTTCAAAACCTAGTGGAGGTGTTCAGCAGTGCAAGGTTGGGGGTGGAGGAGTGGGGGTAGGGTGGGGGTTCCGCGTGTTTGGGTCTTGCCCATTAGGTACATGGGTGATAGGAAACAAGTCTCTTCTGCCGCCGGGGGGCAGAGGGGCTGGTGGGGGGGGGGGAGGGGGATTTAGGCTCAGGTACTCTTGGTGGATGGGCTTTGTTCTGTGGCTGATGGGGTGGCTTAAAAGATCTTTTTTTTTTTTTTTTGAGACGGAGTTTCGCTCATTACCCAGGCTGGAGTGCAATGGCGTGATCCCGGCTCACCGCAACCTCCACCTCCTGGGTTCAAGAAATTCTCCTGCCTCAGCTTCCCGAGTAGCTGGGACTACAGGCGTGCGCCACCATGCCCAGCTAATTTTTTTGTATTTTTAGTAGAGACGTGGTTTCACCATGTTGACCAGGATGGTCTCGATCTCTTAACCTCGTGATCCACACGCCTCAGCCTCCCAAAGTGCTGGGATTATAGGCATGAGCCACCGCGCCCAGCCAAAAGATCTTAACAGAGAGATCAGGAAGCCAGACTGCAAGGTGGGGGACATTTCCTAATAGTAAGCGCGCCCTCCATTCCCTCTTTTGAGGAACAGAGGGTGTTTTTGCTGGGGCCTGAGTCATCCATCAAAACAGACAGCAGAGGATTGGGGTGGTGCTGCTCCCAGTGAGGGGCAGCTCAAGGGGACATGGAAATGGAGGAACAGCCCCCATAAGGGTGAGCCCAGTGTGCACTGGTGCCCCGAGCTGCCTGTGCAAGGCTGGAGGCTAGTTTGGATGAGGACATGGCTCAACTTTCACTTGGCACATTGAAATAGCTTTTGCTGTCTGCTAGGATGTGGAAAGCTGTTTTCCCATGACCCTGAGCAGTGCTGCAACCACAGCTGAGGAGGGAGGAATCTCTTCCCAACGCTTGGCTTTTGCATCCTTAAATTTGGTTGCAACAATTCCCTAAGATCCAAGGCTGGGAGGCTCCCCTTCCTTCTTTCCACAGTGAACTCTGTGCTATATCCACATTCTCCCTAAATCTCCCTGAGCTTTTTGGTAAGAGGCTGGTGACTTTTCCTCTTTCACAATGGGCAGCAGAGGTCTAAGGTCATTCCATCAAACCGAAGATGGCAGCAAGTTGTCCCCACTTCTTCATCGAGCGCCCAGGGTTGTGCCTGGAGCAAGGGTGGTGCCAGGGATTCTCCTGCTCTGGTTCCTCCTTCGAGGCCCCTGCTCAGCTGGGCAGCTGCCCTCACTCTGGGTGGGTGGCACATGAGTGTCAACAGGGACCCTCTCAGCCAGGGGCTTTTGGCCATTTTTTGTGGCATGGATCACTTCTCAAAATACTATTTTCTTTTCTTTTGAGACAGGGCCTCACTCCATTGCCCAGGCTGGAGTGCAGTGGTGAAATCATGGCTTACTGCAGCCTCGGCATCCTGAAGCTCAGCTGAGCCTCCCACCTCAGCTTCCCAAGTAGCTGGGACTGCAGGCATGCGCCACTAGATAATTTCAGAATAATATTTTCATACACATAGAATATGTAGGAGTACAAAGTAAGCTAGTTATACTGATATATAGTTGTCATAATAGTTTTAAAATGTGTCACATGGGCCGGGCATGATGGCTCACACCTGTAATCCCAGCACTTTGGAAGGCCAAGGCAAGTGGATCACCTGAGGTCAGGAGTTCGAGACCAGACTGACCAACATGGAGAAACCCTGTCTCTACTAAAAATACAAAAAAATTAGCTGTATATGGTGGTGGGCACCTGTAATCCCAGCTACCCAGGAGGCTGAGGCAGGAGAATTGCTTGAACCTGGGAGGCAGAGGTTGCAGTGAGCCGAGTTCATGCCACTGCACTCCAGCCTGGGTGACAAGAGCAATACTCTGTCTCAAAAAAAAAAAAAAAAAAAAGTGTAATGTGACGCTATGCACACAGATTTCTTTATTAACATATTGAATAACAAGATCTAGGGGTGGGCCTATTAAGCAATGGTAAATTGAAGTAGAGATGAGTATAAATGATATTTAAAGATACCTGTGGCAAACTGTAAAGGGATATGAAAAGCTCTGTGGTTTCTATTGGGGCTGCTGATACAACGCACTTTGCCACCTTTGTTCATAACCAAGGACATAGAAGTGACTGAAAATAAAGTTGTATTCTATCCCAATCCAAGTGCATAGACCCCTGAATTCCACAGTTTGTAGACCCCAGTTATGAGCCCCTGTTCTAGCTACTGAAATGAGGCTTTAGATATCCTCTGCAAATTCCTAACAAAACCCCCAGCTCCACCCTCTATGGTCACGGAGCCAGACTGGAAACTCCCAGCACTACACCTGGACACCCACACCTCATCATCCCCACTCCTCTGGACTGCCCAGCCTCACCATCCAGGTAAAAATGGATCTGACTGGGCATTTTGCTGGGGCGGCAGTCCCCAACCTTTTCAGCTCCAGGGACTGGTTTCATGGAAGACAATTTTTCCATGGTTGGAAGGTGGGGAATGGTTTTGGATGAAACTGTTCCACTTCAGATCATCAGGCATTAGATTCTCATAAGGAACGTGCAACCTGGATCCCTCGCATGCGCAGTTCACAACAGGATTTGTGCTCCTGTGAGAATCTCGTGCCACCGCTGATCTGGCAGGAGGCAGAGCTCAGGCTGTGATGCCCACCTGTGGCTCATCTCCTGCTGTGCAACTCATCCCTAAAAGGCCACGGACACGTATCGGCCCCCCGCCTGGGGGCTGGGGACCCCTGTGTTAGGGAATTGGTGGAGGCCTCTAGATTTAGTTTGCAGAATGGGTGGAACTCTTCCCGAGTGGTCCCTCTGAACAATTTTACTGATGGAGACACTTAGGCCCAAGTAGGGCCAGGACCCAGGTCTCCAATCCAGCACTGCACCATTCTTCCTGCTGCCGCAGTGGCATGGGCACTAGGGAGGTGAATGTCTGTTTTTGGCTCCTTGTGTTACTGCTCCTGAGCTCCTCCTGCCACCACTACAAGCACAAAGGTAGCTACAACTTGGGACAGGTTTGTGTTAACGGGC